GCAGGGTCTGCTGGCTGGGTGCTGGCAGGCTTGCACCTGGCACGGGCACCGTAGCCAGCCCTGCTCCTTTAAGGGGTCCGGGGCCGGGAGGGGGGCAATAGAGTTTCCCTGGTGTTGGCCAGAGTGGCCACCAGGGAAAGCTGGGGAGGGCTAGCCTCCCACTAGTTCGAATTAAGGGGCTACACACCCCTTAATTTAAACTAGTAAGTTCGAACTAGGCTTAGTCCTCATACAATGAGGTTTACCTAGTTCGAACTAAGCGCTCCGCTAGTTCGAATTAAGTTCGAACTAGCGGAGCACTAGTGTAGCGCCTATCAAAGTTAATTCGAACTAACGTCCGTTAGTTCAAATTAACTTTGTAGTGTAGACATACCCTTTGAGGGTGTCAACAAATTTGCACATAAGGGGATTCCAGGGGATATAGTGTACTTAAGATTTCCAGAAAGTCCCTGACAAGGTCTCTCACCAAAGGCTTAAACACATGGGATAAGAGGGAAGGTCCTCTTATGGACTGATAGGTTAAAAGATAGGAAACAAAGGGCAGGAATAAATGGTCAGTATTCAGAATGGAGAGAGGTAACTAATGGTGACCTCCACGGGTCTGCACTGCACCTAATCCTGGTCAATGTATTAATAAATGATCTGGAGAAATGGATAAAAATGAGGTGGGAAAATCTGCAAATGATACAAAACTACTCAAGTATCAGAGGGGTAGCCATGTTAGTCTGGATCTGCAAAAGCGACAAGAAGTCCTGTAGCACCTTCTAGACTAACAGATGTATTGGAGCATAAGGTTTGGTGGGCAAAGACCACTTTGTCAGATGCATGTAGTGGAAATTTCCAGACTGGAAATTTCCACCACATGCATCTGACAAAGTGGGTCTTTGCCCACCAAAGCTTATGCTCCAATACATCTGTAAGTCTAGAAGGTTCTACAAAACTACTCAAGACAGTTAAATCCACAGAAGACTGTGAAGAGGTTTAAAAGGATCTTACAAAACTAGGTGACTGAGCAATAAAATGGCAGATAAAATTCAATGTTAATAAATGGAAAATATAATCCCAACTATACATTTACAATTATGGGAACTAAATTAACTGTTACCACTCAAGAGAGACACCTTGGAATCACTGAGGATAGTTCTCTGAAAACATTCATTCCAGGTGCAGTGGCAGTCAAAAAAAGCAAGCAGAATGCTGGGAATCATTAAAAAAGAACAGATAATATCTTATTGCCTCTATATAAAACCATGGTATGCCCACTTTGAGCAGATGTGGTTGCCTCATCTCAAAAATACAACTTGGCATTGGAAAAGGTTAAGAAAGGGACAACAACAATGATTAGGGGTTTGGAATGGCTGCCATATGAAAGATTAATAAAACTGGTATTTTTTAGCATGGAAAAGAAATGACTAAGGGGGATATGACTGAAGTCTATAAAATCATGAATGGTGTGGAGAAAGCGATTGAAGAAGAGTTATTTACCCCTTCCCATACACACAAGAACTAGGGGTCACCAAATGAAATGAAGAGGTAGCAGGTTTAAAACACACAAAAGTACTACTTCACACCAGCTCAGTCAAAGCTAGCATATGTTTAACAGAGCTGAAATGCATACTTCAAACTCCAAGTACTGATATATCCTAAGTATGGAAACCAGGCCTGTTAGTATCAAAGATGGTTTCTGTTTGTTTTACATTGGCAAATGCTGCTAGCGATGTAGTAAGAAATCTTACTGTGCGGCCACTCTACAAACCCCTTGCCTAAGTCTCCAGTCAAAGGCAGATCAACCTAACAAATGCCCAGAGGCCTAGAACTGCTTGTTCCTCAAATATATGCTTAATCCTTTCATCCCCAGTGTGCCATCAAAGAGGATCACAGATTCGTTGGTTTCCCACCATACAAAAACTAGGGATGTCTATGTGTAGTCGACTATACAATTAACCAATACGGCTTGACTTATCGGTTAATCTTGTCGACTACACGCATTCCACACACCCCACCACTGCCTCCTGGCTTCCCCACAGACCAACTCTAACCTGCCACCCTGCACAAGGTGGCAGGGGACTCCCTGGGAGCGCACTGGCTGCCAGCCCCACCCTCAGAGACTACTGAATATTTGTGTAACTGCTAACAAAAACCCTTAGCCCTCTCTCCTTCACAGAGGATCTGCTGAATCAGTGTCA